GAAAGTAAAGGCTCGTGCAGACTTTCAGCATCGGCAGATTGCTGCGCTGTTCAGGCCCCATCTACACTACTCTGTTTTTGTTTAAAAAAGGAGTTTTAAAACGAATACGATCTCCGTCCACACCAGCGTTTCAGTTGCATATCAGAGTTGATCTCTGTCTATATTAAAATGACTGAAAACGTATATCTAGTGGCCGTTCACATACAGTGGACATGCGTGTGCCGGTGTAAACATGAAGCAGATGGTCTGTTCCATAGTTACAGAAGATTTGGCAAAAGACTGTGGCAGCGGAAAACAGACTGGGAGTCGTTGCAAAGTAAACGGTGACATGCGCAGTACAAGTGTAGGCTGTAAGTGTTATTTGCACAAAATAATTTAATAAAAATACTAAATCAAAAATTCTGGCAGTAGCCTCATATTTCTACTTTGCATGACTTATAAGACCCAATCAGAGAGCCAAACATGAGTGTCTGCATTAGTGTTTCTAAAGTCCTCCGATTTAGGTCTTCGTTTGGACGCGAGGTGCAAATGTAGAAAAAGGTCTCCGTTTTAAAACAAAAATGCAGTAGTGTAGATGGGTACCTCAGACTACACAACTTGCTGCCTTGTGACAGAGTCTTGAAGTCGTTGTGGTGTTCATGTTACCTGACTCATCGGCGACAGGGGGTCACTTATTACACGAGCTTACACCAATAACACACACAAAGTTACACAGGATTTGACGTGAAACTACACAAGAAACGGAGGAGTTGTTTATTATTATAAAGATAAAAGTTATAAAGACAAAGAATATGGGTGAAAGAATGGATTAGCACCCGTGGGCAGCAGGGATTGTCTGTGCTACAGAGAGTTGGAGCTGAGTAAAAAGCATTTTGTTATGAAAAATTAGCTGGCTGCTCTGCCAGCTGCATGCTCTCATTGGCTTAATGTGGTTGCCGAGTCAGACGACGGCTCAAGATATTTAGCATGCTAGATATCTGGCTGGTGTCGGCAATGCGTCAAAGCTGTTTTGTTGCGTCGTTGAGTAGTTCACACATAACTATTGGCAAGCACAGGTCAGTCGCTCCCAATCACAGCCCGACGGTCGGCAACTGGCAAATCGGGCTTAAAATCATCCAGTGAGAACTAGGCTTAAGCAGGGTATGAACCTTTCTTCATTCTGTACACAGCGTTTTCTGGCAAATGAGTGCAACACTATGAATGCCACCTAAGAGAGACTGTCTTTAAATGTTTGGAACAGCTATAAACACTTCTGCCTTCTAACGTGGTCACATGATTAGTTCATTGAAAGCAAATCCCCTACTAACTGGGGCAATGATTTCATATTTCTAATTATATATCATAATGCTTCTAAGCAGATTCATATTACGACAATATGATTAGACTGTGTCAATATCTTTCATCTGGCATCTGTTTTCCAAATCAATAAATCTAAGAAAGCTGTAATGAAACAGAAAAAATAGCTATTGAAAATTTTGTGAAAATCACACTATCAATATTGTAATATTGATTTCAGTTACATTGCCCAGCCCAACTGGACTGACTTTATTTGTAGTTTGTTAGAAGTCATATAGAGATCTGTGGCACATTTGTGTGACAGACCAAAGTTGTTTTAAAGTGTAAAATGTTCATTTAACTTCACATGGAACATTCACAGAAGTCATTGGAAAGCTGCTTTAATGTGGTACGTTCTGACCACCCCCACCCCACCTAATCACTACTTTCACTCCAGACTCACCCCCACTTGTGGCCTCAGATCTGTGAGTGGCAGTTACCAGGTTTCTCCCCCTCCCTCCCGTCCAAAGTCCCTTACCCACACCACAGTATGTTTGAGTCAGACCCTCCCCCGTTAGCCTTGACTCAGGCTTATTGCGCTCTCTCAGCTGCTCTGCTGAACAGTGACTGTTGATTGGTGGTTGAGACGAAGAAGGAAGCCTTGGGAGTATTTATAGAGACTCTCTCATTTACCAGAACAATAACAACCCTCCCCCACACATTGAGAGGGAGAGAGAGAGAGAGAGAGAGAGAGAGAGAGAGAGAGAGAGAGAGAGAGGTTTCACATCTCAGGGGAAATATGCATACTGGGACACCAGTTGAATAAGGTGACTGTCCATTCATGTTGATGCTGTTGTGCAATGATAACAGAATAGGTTGTCAGCAAAGTGATTCATATAGTTTATACAGCTCATAGGTGTAAACTTCTGGGATGTTCTGAGAAGTGTGTTATCAATTTACATTTTATACTTCAAGCATTTAGGTAATTGTGTTAGTCTGGTTGACTCATGAGAGTTCCACAACTAAAAAGGCTTAAAGTCATGGATCACCACAATTGGAAGCAGCAGAGAAAAATGCACACAATGAGTATTTGTTTTATCTGAGATAAGACAACACATTGTATATCAGGAATTTGCCAGCTGATGCAAGTGAAACCAATTTGTTTTAAGGATGTGGCAGCATTTCCTGTGTACTTGGTCATATGGCCCCACCTCTATTAACCCACATGTCTGTACCAGACATAAAGCTCTATACATTGCTAACATTGGCATCAATTACTGGCAAAGCCAGTGTTGGGAGGATTAGTCAGGTAGGTAGTATCAAGTCACCTAGTCTTAGATTAGTGGTTGGTGACTGATTACAAATGACTCGGGTGATCAGTGTCTACTACTGTTGCTCATAGTGTGAAGGGTAGCTGTCTATCTAATCGTCTAAAGCTTAAACAAACTTAGCAATACTATTATCAAGCATTGCAGTGGTAGAGATACTGTGCAGAAGGGTATGTCCAACAGCCTGCCAGATGGAAGATCTTGATCTGTCTTGTTCCAAATTTGGTTTGGGATGTTAAGTTTCTAAAAGCCCCTCTACTCCCAAGCACCAGGGATGAAGTTGGTAGGCAATGCACCATCCTTTGTGCAGAACATCATTCTTCCACTCCGCTCCACCCCAGTGACTGCTGTTGCTCCAAGGGCGCTTTCCACATACTCTCAGACCCTGTTGAGGAGCAATGAACATTAGCCTCTACATTTCTAAAGACTGTCTGTCAGCTCCCTTGATGTCTGACATAGAGGGCCTGGAAGCAGCAGTTAGATGTTTTTATGGCCAACTCCATAATAGCTAGGAAGTTGTAAGGTTGCTGGAAGTAGTGCGGTCACATCGCACAGCGAGAATCATGCACTGACAGATGGTTGCAAACAAGCTCAAGTAGGAAGGGCAGAGTTGTACTTCTTACAAAGCAGTCATTGGCTACATTGTTGTCTGCTGCCAGGAATGCTGAGGCCCTTTATGGAGGGAGGTCATCCGAGGTTGAAAAAGCTCATACTGATGTGCTGGGAATAATTTGAAGTTAAGCTACTAATTCTTTAGACCCTGTTTGAAGGTGAAACCCATCTGCAACAGCAGCATTTTTATTGCATGTTTTACTGTGTGGCACAGGGGTATGTCCAAGTTGGGAATGGAAGCAACACCAGCCTATTGCTCCTACTAAAACATGAGCTCACATGAGCTCTCTCTCTTGCTCTTTATCCCTGAAATAAAAACACACATGCAGACTCATACACATAAGCACAGAAATCAATACATGGCTCAAGGCAAGGTGTGTGAAGGCTCCTCCCCCAAACCATAGACTACAGCCAGAGATGTGGATAAATCTGTGAAACATACACTGTAAACAGAAAAACAGCCTTAAATGGGTATGACTGCAGTGTATCCTCCATCTAATTACAACAATACAAGCCTGTTCAATGGATATATAATTATGAAATGCAAAATGCATATCTTCCACCAGAACCATGGCTGATTGGGATTTCATGCAAATATCTTGGGTTGTAAGCAGGCACAGTGATGTGATTGGTGAGCTCCAGAAGATTTGGACACATTCCCTGCACTCGCAAATGCAGGCAATGGATAAAAATAAAGACTTCAAGACCAGTTTTGATGCATTTTAAAATGCATGTCATATTGTCACAGACTGCAGTAACCTCTTATAAGAGTGCTCATCTCAGAACAACAGAAATATATGTTAATTCTGTGTTTTGTTTGGACTCTCTGGCTGTGTGCATTTCTCAGATAGTGCCCACACCTAGGAGTGGCTTATTAGCACTAGTTTAAAGTAGCTGGACAATGACAAACCTGCTAGTGGTTGACCATTTATAGACAAATTCCCTGGACAATAGATTGGCTCACTCTCCCAAAGTGGTTCCATTCATTTGCAACTGCAGGCAAGAGGTCATTGTCTTGAAGTGGGCAATCAAGGGGTGTTTGCATCTGCAGTGTGGAAGGACACACACACACTGATACAGAAACATACACACGTGCCTGCATCCATAGTCCATACACGTAAATGAGGCAAACACACCCATGCACGGCAGTAGCTACGCTGCCGCTGCAGCTAGTGTGGCCTAGAATAGCACACAGGCTACATTCCTCTGCCCTCCCTCCATTGCCTCGCTGCACACAGCAGACTGGTGGGTCACATGGACCAACAGTGATCTCAGTGATCTTGGAGATGAAGTGTACATGCACATACTAGGGTAACACTCTTGCTACACAAACACACACCACACACAAAGGCCAAATAGATAAGTAGGTGCAGACAAGTTGGGAACACGAATTTCAATTTGTGTTATGCTGTCTGACACACGCTGGCAGATATAAGCATGCATGCTGACTCCTACATACATGCTTAAATCATAGAAACAAAAAATATATTAATAGCCTTCTATCTATCTATCTATCTATCTATCTGTCATTGTGTTGTCCTAATTCAACCACAACAGCAGCAGTTACTTATGAAGACAAACAAGATGTCCAAATACTATTTCAAAAAGAAACAGTGGGGAGGAGGGTATTTAAATTGGCTACTGTGTCACAGCTCTCCAATAGCCCTTTTTCTTCCTACGCCCATGCACAATTATATTAAGTAGGGCCAATAGGAACAAAGAAGAGGCAGGACCGAGGCTCCACCTCTCCCCGACTGCTTTCCTCTGAGCTTTTTAGATGTACATAATCCCTGAGTTGACCCAGAAAATAGGCAGTCGTTTCAAGATCTGATGCGGCAGTCTTTGTGCACACCGTCCCCGCTTGGGCATGAAGCGTAACCCTGTGGAATACATACTGTAATTTAGAGGAGATTCGCCTTGCAGAGGAAAACTGTTTTTAAAAGACCGAGCGGAAGCAAAGTCGCGCAACTTTGTGAAAACGGTCGCGGATACGGGTATGTGTTTTTTTTTAATCGGATTTATTTGTTGGAGAAATTGGGATTTTGGTTCGTGTTGGTCTCAGGGGCTGCTGCTGCTGCTCCATTGTTTGCATTCCCTTGTTTCAAATTCGAGATTAACAAAATGGACAGTAGTAGGATACAGTGCATTAAATCATCGAATATAAACATTTAAACAAATCGATACAAAGTAATAGCAGAAAACCGAAGCCGTTGGTGTATTTTATGCCTTGTTGAAATGTGGTGATTCAGCTGTTGGGGAGATGTTGCATGATGTCAGTGTTCTTTGTTGCAACCTTACGTGCGTAAAATGTAACAGATTTTTCTGCCTCAGCTGACATGCAACATGGATGGGAATTAAGCTATGCATTCAGCGATGCATGCATTTTCCTCTGTTTTGTCGATCTGTCGTGCATGAATTATCTGGCTGAAAAATGTACCCAAACAATGTAAGTTAACCTGTAATTTCAACCTGCGCGTTCATTCACTGGCACAAAGAGGGGATGTTTTAGGAAGACTAAACGCACAATAAGGGTTTCAGGGATTGCCAATAGCTAATATTTTTTCCGGAAGCGTTTTCGATGGTTTAACTTGAGGTGGATTTGTGACATTACAAAGAAAATTGCATCTTTGTTTCTGTTCAATGAAGGTGAATGCTGTGGTCTCTATTATGTCAATTGGCTGGATATTATATAGTTTTGGACCACAGCGATGTAAAATCTATTGCACTGCACATCTCACACATGGCAACATTAACACAATTGTTGTGTACTTAACTAGTTTGGTTCAAATGGACAAGGACAATGTTCCTTCCATGAGTCTTAATCTTGCTGCACCTCCCCATAAATGTTTTTAACCTACTGTTTCCAAACATAATGTCTGCCCCTTGCATTGTCCTGACAGTGTCTCCTCTCTGCTCATAGACAGGAGGCATGGCAGACCATCTGATGATGCCCATGAATCACAGCTCAGCGGGCGCCAGTCTCCACGGTTACAGGATGGGCATGAATGGCGGCCTGCAGGCAGGTCACCAGCAGCATGCCAACCAGCAGGGCATGCGGGCGCTGCCCAATGGCCAGATGATGCACTACGGTGGCGCCCAGGCCAACATGGAGACTGCCATGCGGCAGCGGCAGGGCATGGTGGGTGGACCCATGAATGGACAGCTGAACGGGGCCCAGATGGGTCATCACCAGATGACCTCTGGTAACATGATGTATAATAGTCAGCCCCAGCAGCAACATCATCCTCAGCAGCAGCATCACATGCATCCGCAGCAGCACCAGCACCAGCACCAGCAACAAGTCCAGCAGCAGCAGCAGCAGCAGCAGCAGCAGCAACAACAACAACAACAACAACAACAGTTCATGAACGGAGGGTTAACATCCCAGCAACTCATGGCCAGCATGCAGCTTCAGAAACTCAACACCCAGTACCATGGGCACCCACTGGGGCCTATGGGTGGGAATCACATGGGGCCCACGACCCAGTACCGTATGAACCCAGCCCAGCTGGCTAACATGCAGCACATGGCTGGGCCGGCCCTGGCCCTGAACGGCATGGATGCAGATATGATTGACGAGGAGGTCCTGACCTCACTGGTCATGGAGTTGGGCTTGGATCGGGTCCAGGAGCTGCCAGAACTCTTCCTGGGCCAGAATGAGTTTGACTTCATCTCAGACTTTGTCAGCAAACAGCAGCCCAGCACTGTTAGTTGCTGAGAGGACCTGATTTGCAAAGAGGCACAAATGGAGACAGAAGAGTGGGAATTGTCCAGGAGGGATGAAGAGTGCTCATCTTTTCACTTTTTATTTAGTGAGCACCTCCCTGTTCAACTATAAGCCAGGTGTGGCGCAGGATGCACGGAAGAGAACTCTGGATATCCACAGAGAACAGACAGTTCTCGAGTCTCACATGTGTTAATGGCCAGAGGGTGGCTGGCTTTAAGGCCTAGTGCCACATCTCCCATTTCCTGAACATGAATGTAATAAAGAAATTCTTAAAAGCCACTCTGAACAACGCTATGACACTGTGTAGTTTCCAAGCCTGGACTCCATGACAGTTTACCAGTAAAAGGTGTATTTATTTATTCCTATCTGAGAAAACTGATATAAAGAACCATATTGTCCATTTTGGGATCCAAGTGGTTTTAATGATCCCCCCCCCAGAGATTAGGATGGGGGAGAAAAATTAAATTAAAGTTCTCTGCTCATGATTTTTTCCCCCCATTCCTTTTGGCCTAGTATTAAAAATAAGCTGAGATGACAGGGTCATCTAAAAAGCCTGGATTTTCTATCACAAAAGTCAGTCATGACAGTACAATATTATCTCATTTGAATGGGAGTCTCATCTGGATCTTAAAAATGGTTCGCTTTTGGTAAAGTGCTGCCTTTTTAGATGTGATGTTCTCAAAAAGAATCTACTGCTTGTACTCTATGAAGCTGTATAACTCCAACATGTCCACATTGTTGTGATCTATTGGAGATGTAGAACCGCCTTAATTGCGCAGAATCTTATTTATTGGTTGTTTATATTGTCCCCTTTTTTGTGGTCAAGATGGGGGGATGGTCTTTGTGAAAGGGGTTTTGAGGATCAATAAAGATGGCCTGGATAGAAATGTGGCCTGCTTTTCTATTCATTGCACAGTTTTTCCCCCGGGCAGTGGAGAGCTAGCTAAGTGCTTAAGTTAACCTGTGGGTGAAGGGAAACCTCAGTTCCCTTAAAGTCTGGGGTGGAGACATTTAAACAGATAAAATATTTATGCTTTTTGAGAAGGATATACTCTACTCCAAACCTCCTGGGTTTTCAGTATCACATTGTTTCCTCAATTTGTCATTTTCACTGCTCAGAAGGCACAGTGTCACTGATAACAACATGATTGACATGTGGTGATAATTACATGTTTCTCTGCAAGTTAGCAAAGGAGGAGCTGTGTTATATGTCAGTGTAAATCTGATATGACATTCCAGGTAGTGATATCCAAATGGGACTTATTATTTCAACATTTCTTTCTTGGTGGTCATCAAAGCAAATGCCATGGCATAGGTGGCAAAACTGTGTAAAATAGTCCTTCAAAGTGTTGTGAGCTTACAAAAGCAGCATTTGAATAACTGGTTTCTTGACTGCACCCCAAACGTGTGTGTGTGTGTGTGTGTGTGTGTGGTTGGGGGAAGTGAAAATGACTAAAGAATGCTTACCATGATGGGGGTTTAACTGACTTAAAGCTTGTAAGCCCGGACTCCAAGACAGTGCTGCTTTCCCCAGCTCACCCAGTGGATGGTCAGAGAAACTAGCTTTTGGCTCTAAACAGTAACTTTGAACAAATTGACTTGTGCAAATTCAAAGCAACTCCTCTCCACAGCCAGTTGGAGGAGTAAAAAAATTTCTCTCGTAAAATAGCATTCATTATGAAATTTAGGGTAAAGAGATTCTCTGTGGTGGCTGAGTTTGTTGGATTGTTTTGTGCCTTCAGGCTATGAAAATGCGTGATTGAGGTCATATTTGGGAACGCCATCCCCACATTTAGCTTTTCACATTGTCAACAAAGGCATCTTTAGCGGCATCATGAGTAAAGAGGGGAAAATGAGAGCACTGTTGTTCACAACCAGGAATAGTGTTTGCTTATTGCTCAATTTTTAAGTTGACGCTCTGTTATGTCATCTATTTTCATTTGTCCCGTTGTGTTAAAAGGCTGATGTGTTCAGTTTGAAAGGTGGTATCATGGATGATCCAAACTGAAATATCTTTCCCTGAATGCAGGCTTGTTTCAAGTAACAAAGACTTGCTTAAGGGTGTGTGTGTTTGTGTGTATTTTCTTGGCTTGACACTGTCAAGAGAATGGCTCATAAGTAGGCCAACAGCCTTGGCACAGTGCTCAGTAACGGTTGCAGGTCCCTTGTTCATTGCCAATGAGGGTGAGCTGGTCTTCTGGTGTGTGGCACATGGGTCATGATGGCACACTGTCAGAACTGTGTCTCCTCATATATCTTATAATTGTATGCTGCACTGCGAGCTCTTTGTTTAGCCCCAATCAAATGCAGAGGTTTGGTTTCTTGATTGTGACTACATAGACAAATGGCTAACTACGCCAAACAGTCCTGTTTGCTCTCCTGAATCCCTTGTTATGACTGCCGCCTGCCTCACAGAGGCCAGTCTAGACTCATGCTAAGCAGGGTGGGACTCTTGGAGACGTTTACAGTTACTTCTGTTTTTCTTACTCTCGTTTTCAGCCCACCCACATCAACTGCTCAATACAACACTGTGTCTTCTTCCTGTGGCAGCTTGCTGTTTTCTCAATATAAGTCAGAGACCAAAAGCCACATTCTGATAGAGAGGAAGACAGGCAAAGTGAAAGAGACAAGACACAAGGAGGGGAGAGAGAAAATGTAAGGATCTCTCCACTTTACAATTAGAAATGAGATGGAGGGATTTTTTTTTCTAGTTCTCGGGGATTTCTTAGCTGGGTTTTCCCACAACACTTTTATAATTCCATTGAAAACCCTTCGCTAAACATCACGTGAGAAATGCTAAATGGAATCGAGATTACATTCCTCCCTTCTGACCCAGTATCTATATATGATCTGTGTATGTCTATGTGAGTACTGCTTGGTTTTTCTCTTTCCTGGCTTTGGTCCAGCTGGTGCCAAGCCTGAGCTCATGGTAATCTCAGGTCCTACTGCCAATGATGGATAGGTGGTCATTTGCTGTTGTCACGCATGGTCAGGTCTTCACATGCACACACACAGCATCAGCACACAACCTGATCAAACAGGCTAACAGGGTTACCTCAATATCAGTGTGCAGCCATCTTTGGTCATTGGGATCCTTCCATCTACAGTATGTTGGTAGATTAAGTTGGATCAGTTGTTGGTGTAAATGAGAAAATCCCATAAGTGAAAGAATATCCAGAAAATTGTATTAAATAAAGATGTACTCATTTCGAAACAGTATGATTAAAATGAGCATTACCTTCATCGGAGTGCTAATTTTGAAATAAAAAAAAAAAAGTCATGTCATGTCAAGAAACCCCCTGTGCAATTACTGTAACTCAAAGAGTGAAATACACAAAGTGGGAAGAAAATGTGACTTTCCCAGATGAGAGGATGAGTTATTTATTAACAAGGGACATGTTTGAACTAGCCTGCTTTAACAAGAGAGTTTTGAGGTTTTTGGCATGTTTTGTGTTAAACGTGTGTGTGTGTGTGTGTGAAGGGTGTGTTTGTGCTGGCAGGAGGTAAATAAACTGCAGATCCCACAGGGCAGCGTTCATTCAGTGGACATGTTGCTCAAGCCGAACTTCCTGATTTTCTAGCTGAACAGTCAACTTGTATTGCCACTTGACATGTAGTGTTTACTGGATGCTGCTCTTTCCTCCCCTTGCTGTAAGTTCCCATCATAAAAAAAAAACCCACACACACACATCACAGATATTTCAATGCAACGGGTCCCTCTGGAAAACATCAGTTGTTGCACTGTTGGATTCTGCTTCCTGGGATTTTTACTAAAGTCTTCTAAGCAACAAAACCCTTCCTCTTTCCCACACAAGGGAAAAAGCAATATAATCACATCACACTTTTTTTCCCGGAGCCCCATAGTTTAGCTGTGCCTCAGTAATTGTTTTGTTTTCCATATGAATCCAGCTGAGGAGACTTTTAAATGCAGCTGTGTACCTTGTGAATGCAGCCTCCAGAGGTAAGTAGCTGATTTTGGCATGTCAGGGCAGGTGACACAGAGGTTGCCTAGTGACTAGCAACTCCTCTGTCGACCCCTCCCCCTCTTCAAATCTGGGGTTGAATGGTTTGCCAAGCTCTTTGAAGTAGGAGGAGGAGGTGTAAATAATTTATTTTCCTTCACACAGCTGACACTTCTCAGTCGAGCCGACTCAAACACATCGAAATGTCCCAACAATGTCTAAAGGTGGTAAATATTTAAGGGTTGTGTGATTTACCAGTTGAGCCAAACTGAGCAGAGCTGCTGTTTCGCAACAGTGGCAGAACATTTACTTTGGTGTCTGCGCATGTCCAGTAGAGCTGAACTAGAAACATCCCTTGTCAAAATTATGTTGAGTATATTATTTATTTGTTAGTCTTTTAATTGTCAGATTACCAGATGGAAAGGGTTTTATTGTGTAATTCAAACCTATTCAGCCATAGAAATAAATTTAAATCAACTTAATTGTTTTGCAGTTTGTGTGAATGTGCTAAACATATACCAAAGAAACATTTCACAACATTTGAAAAATTCAATACAACTCAACACAAAATCAGTGTAAATATGACCCTTTTGAAGGTTAAAATGTTGATCACAGCATCAACATTTTAGCAAGGTGTTAAATCGACTAGTGTTCCTTTTTATGCTTTACTGTACAATATAAAATAGATGTGAATCTGACAGTCTCAACAAAAATGAACATTATAGGTTCACAAAGGTAGTCATTGTTGCAGGAAGTTATATTGTGTTCACCTCCTGTAATTTAATGTGAGCAAGGATATTATTTGGCCTAGCCCAGGAGAGTTACATGTTTGTGGGTTAGAATTGAGGGAAACAGTATTAGCGCAAGCCATGTTCTGTACACAGTGTCTTTGTGAGCAGGGCTTTAAGCCTGCGTGCTAATCTGGTGACAGTGACAAGCACATGCTACCAAAGACGAGTAACAGGCTATAGGCTGGGTGTGGAATTAATACAAGAGAGCAGTTCTTGTGGGGCTTTTCAAGTGTTATCATGCTGGTGAAATCTCAATTAACTGTAATATCAATGTGTTAATGCCAAGGAAAGTAATGTGAACATGGAATTTCATTTGTCATACCTCGGCTTTTCAGGGTTTGTGGGATTTTTTTTGTGCGTTTATGTGTGATCCCTGGATAGATAATACCCACACTGCCGTGTGACCAACATTTTCCTTGCAGGAAAACTGACATTAGCCTGTCCACATCATCTGTAGGCACAGGTGAGTGTGTTGGGGTGAGGGCTATCAAGACAGAGTTCTGATATTATCTCCCAATCAAAAGTCACAGGAGATAAGTATGTGAAGCAGGTCTGCAGCCTCATTATTAAAGGTGATGAAATCAAATTTGATTTAGCATTGGGTATGTCTCTGAGATGTTACGGTTCCTCTGATGTGTGATAATATTTCTTTTCCATTCTTCATTATTTGGTTATAAAACCCTCAGCAGTTTTGTTCGTTGACCCGCCAATAACAGACAAAATTGCCCTATACTGCAGAATGTTGTGTGGTGCTCACTGCATTGCAAAATAAATATTAGTTTATATCTGCAGTAACTGAAGTGTGGACCTGTGTACTCAGAATTCTTGAAGTATTTATACAATACACATAATGCAGTTTGCACAATCTGGAAACATGATCCAAAGATCAACCTGACAAAGAATTCAAGTACATTCTTTATAACATAGGCCTCAGGGCTTTGCAGGCCCACCATGATCTGAGGCCCAGACCCTCACCTGAACTGTAAGCACCTCAACTGACAGCCCAAAGGCATGCTGGGAATTCTGGTATCAGCTGGAGAGAAGGTGGTTGACTGAGCACTTTATTTTTACATTGTTTCTCTCTAACTGTGCCACACTTGTCTGCAGAGTGTAAG